TTTTTGGAGAGTTCGTTCTAGATCTTTGAAGAAGGCCATTGGTATTTTAATGGGAAGTGCGTTGAATTTATAGATTGCTTTGGGTAGTATGGACATTTTAATGATGTTGATTCTACCAATCCAAGAACATGGTATGTTCTTCCATCTGTTTATGTCTTCCTCTATCTCTTTTTTCAGCGTCCTGTAGTTTTCTGAGTATGTTATGTGACATGTTGAAACTACATGAAATTCAAATGTCAGTATCCACAAGAAAAGCTTTATTAAAACATAGCTACGCTCATGTATTTACATTTTGTCTATGGCAGCTTTTAAACTAGAGCCGGGTTGAGTAGTTTGTGCCCGAGATGGTTTGGCCGGCAAAGCCAAAAATATTTACTACCTGACCCTGACAGAAAATGTTTGCTGACTCCTGGGTCACAGTAAACATCTTACACCTGTCTGGGCTTGGATAACTTTTAGTTTAGTTTATTCCCTTTAAAATAAGTTTGGAAAGGAATTGATCTTTTTTAACTACTGGAATGGATTCTAACCAGGAAGGCACACTAACAAATGTTTGTTGAAGGAAGGCAGGAAAGAAACAATATACATAGTAATAGCTTTATCCAGTCATTAGCCAAGATTAATTATGTGGAGATTAATTTCTCCAAAGATGTAATGTATGACCCTGGCCTGGAATGTTCTTCCCCCTCAGCCCACCTGAGAGGACTCTGGAATTCCATTCTTCCTGGAGACCAACAGGAAACACACACACACACACACACACACACACACACACACACACTAATATTGATTAAATACCTACTATGTGCCAAATCCCTATTAGTCTGCATAGCTAACCTCTGTAATAATATCCAGTCCAGTGGCCTGGCACCACAATACAGCCTTATTTCTTGCTCATTACAAAGCCCAATATAAACAGGGGGCTGGGTTTTGTTCTGTGGAGTTATTCAGGGACCCAGGCTCCTTCCATCTGGTTTCTCCACCAGCCCCTCGGTCCCCTGTGTCCTCCAATGGCCACTCTGCATGTACCTGGGACAGAAGGGAGAGAGAAATGGGGGAGAACCACAAAGAAGAACTTTAGGGCCCAGTCCTGGAAGAAACACCTGTCCCTTCTCCCCAGTTCCATTGGCCAGAAGTGAGCCATGGAGCCCCACCAAACCGCAAGAGGAGGTCTGGGAAGTGAACTTAGGAAAGAAAAGAGAGTTTGGTAAACACGGGTCCTTTGAAACCCTATCCTCTCCACTGTTTTGACCAAATTTGACCTCCAGGTCACCAGGTGCGGACACGGTTTACATCCGTGTGCCCAGAGGGGAGGGAAAGCCTACTTGGGATCAGAGTTGTAACCTTCCTGTCTAAAGCCAAGCACTCGGCAAAGCACCCTCGCCCACCACCGTTATATAAAATAAAGCTCTGCCCTAGCCGGTTAGCTCAGTGGGTAGAGTGTCGGCCTGTGGGCTGAAGGGTCCCAGGTTTGATTCCAGTCAAGGGCACAGGCCCGGGTTGCAGGCTCAATCCCCAGTGGGGGGCGTGCAGGAGGCAGCTGATCAATGATTCGCTCTCTCATCATTGATGTTCCTATCTCTCCCTCTCCCTTCCTCTCTGAAATCAATAAAATAAATAAAATAAAAAAATAAAGCAGACATTCTCTCATGTGACATCCTCTTCAAATAATAAATAAATTTAATTTTTTTAAATAAAATAATAAAGCTTTGCCCCAGGAAGAATAGCTCTTGTTACAGAAGGTTCAAGGGAATCAACACTTTTAAAGTGTGTCATAGCTCTGCCTTCAGGAAGAAAATCAAAAGAATCATTTAGTAGCTGAAAATGACATCTTTTGACATATGATTTTTTTCTTCCTGTAACTAGAAAACATACATAACTTGAAACACAGCAATTCCAGATTGTTAAGAGGCAAGGGGACGGCAGAAAGAAACTGGTGAATAGTCTTT